TACCCATCAACAACCTCCCAAATAGCCAAAAGCCCTGACACATTATAGGTGTTTATTTTCCCAAGAAACCTGTGTGGTTGACGTCCTCCCTTTACAGATGGAGAAACTGGCTGGGGTGAGCAGGTACCTCAGCTGAAGAGTTTGTTTCCTTCCTCTTCCTATTAAGATGCAACGCGGCTCGTAAAACTAACAACCCTGGGGCTTCCCAGCAAAGAACTCACATGAGCTTCCTCCAGGATCTGAGGTGGACACTAAAACCCCCACTTTAAAGACAGAGAACCAAGGCCTACCGGAAGCTATGCTGTGCATCTCACCCAACCCCTAGGCTTTACAGTGTTCCTGACAGGTAAGCCCTGCCTTGGGCCCAGCAAGCATGTGGGCACACAGACCTGCCCAGGAAGCCCAGCCCTGTTAGTGGCTCCTTTGGAAGAAGGCCCCTAGCAGCTGACCGGCAGCAGCAGAGCTTCCGGGCAGCTCCCCGCCCTCGGCCCGCCTTCCCAGATCCTGCTCTGGGCCGCCATTTCCTCTGCTGGGCCCAGAGTCTCACTCCTCCAGGTCTGCAAATGGCCGGCGCCCAGAACTGTCCATTCGCATGAGGAGGAGGCAGCCCAGGCCTGGCCTGGGGCCTTTCTGGGGCCTGATGAGCACCATCTGAGGAGCCCCGCTCAAGGCGGACTGCATCCCCCACCTTGGAACAGCGATGGGCTGTCCACCGCAGCCATTGCAGGGGTGTAGGGAGGGTTTCATAGCCCACTTAGAGAAGTGGAAGGGAGCCATGGCTAACAGATAATTGTCCAACTCGGTGGTAATTGCTCATCAGGCAGTAGTCACATGGGCCAGGCCTACTGGGAAAATACAGGATGCCCATGCATGTGTGTACGTGTCACTCACACATGATTCTGAAAAGACCCTCTTGCATACCCAAGCACCACCTGTACATGTATGGCACACACACCAATGAATGCCACAGTAGACCCATAGGGACTCAATGGGGCCCGATTCCTGACCTGACTCCTCAGCTGGCTGAATCTCTGATTCCCTGCCTTCCCAGCTGGACGGCGGGAGAAGTCAGCCCCGGCTTTGGGAATCCCAGATGCAGAAGAATGGCACGAAAGCAACAGTAGAGGCAGGACTGAGCCAAGCTTTCTAGTGTTCAGTAGTTTCCCACTCTACAGTTAAGGAAACTGAGGCTCGGAAAGGTAACATGACTCATATAGTCAGGAAATAGGGCAGCCCAGCCTGAACCTGGGTCACAAGCCTCAAGCTTCTGCTCTTCCAAACTTGAAAGGCGCCACCGAGCTCCTGGCCCAAGGGACAGGGCTGACGCCATGCCCACCACATGGCTGAGACCTCTGAAGCATACATACCCTCTCACTCTGCTTCAGCCTTTAGAGTACTCAGACCAGTGTCACATTCCCCTGACGACAAGCAGCTGTCAACAGACCGATAGACTCCGACTCACTGCTCCCAGACAGCTGTGGCAAATTCCATCAACTTTTGCTGCCCCTCCGCTGCTCTTTTAGCATCTCCAACCAACAGGTACAACCCTTAAAATGAACAAGTCACAGCAAACTACTTCTATTGACAAATGGGTGAGTGGTCTGAAGCTCCCCGGAGCCAGCGCAGGCACCCAGCACCCTTCCCCTCTCCCAATACGGGAGCCTTGACTGCTCTCTGCAGATGAGGAACACAGAGGCTAGATCTAGATCTCAGAAGGAGAGGAGTGCTTAAAACACGGGAAAGTGGGAAAAGTGCAGCTTCAGAGCTGATTACATCATAACACATACACAGTCCCCAAATACACAGTTAACATCGTTTGCAAACTGTCGTGACTATAAAACTGCTCTGCCCTCCGGTCTGTTGGTGCAGCCGGATGAATTCTGTACTTTCTTATTTTGGTGAGATCCTTTATTTTAAAAAATTTACAACTACTCTATGCAATTTACCCACTGAATTTTTTTCTTTTCTTTTTAAAGGTTTATTTTTGTTTTATGTGTATGAGTGTTTTGCCTGCATGCATGTATGTATGTGAACCGTGTGCATCCCTGGCACCAGAGGAGGTCAGAAGTGGGTATTGGATGCCCTGAAACTGAAGTTACAGACAGTTGCGAGCTGTCATGCAAGGTTCTGGGAACCCTGGCCCTCTGCAAAAGCAGGAAGTGCTCTGAATCACTGAGTCATCTCTCCAGCCCCCACCCCCGAATTTTTTTTAATTTGAATTTAAATGTGCTTTTTGACCATCTGAAATATTTATCATTTGATTTTCATAGGTCTCAAAATAATTTTACATATGCCAACACAGACCAGAGGCCAAACTTCCTTACAGAGAGTAAGATATTTAAAATCCCACACCCCACAAGTTGGAATTTACGGGTAGTGCTACTGTGTTCATGCAGCAAAACATGATATAAATTGGTAATTAATTAAAGCACGGAAAGGCCTTTAACATAGGGCATTTGGAGCCTTAAAAGATGAAGACCAGGGTTGGCGAGATGGTCCAGCAAGTAAAGGCACCTGCAGCCAAGCCTGAGTGCAACACCTGGGACCCACACGGTAGAGGAGGGGAAGCGACGCCATCAAATTGTTCTCTGATCTCCACATTGTGTGGTATGGCATGTGAATGCCACATACACAAATAAATAAATAAATGTACAAAAAATGTTTAAGATCAAGATCAAAAATTAGATGAAATTTTAATGAAGTGGTGTTACTCTGTTGGCTCTTCCAGAAGATCATCGAGTAACTGCTTTAATACAAATGCAACTTGTTTATTTTGACCTCAATTCTTCGAAATTGTTGACTCCACAATTGAAATATGCCGTGTGTTCCAACAAGTACCAGGCAATGGTAATGACAGACCAGCCCATCTGTGCCGCGAGAATGTATAATTTCTGTCTATAGTGGAATTTATATAGAAGCAATGATGTGGAAAGTGCCTTGCGTGGTACTTTCTTTAAAAAAATAAAATAAAAGCACTGGGTGCCACGGAGAACGCTGAGATTTTCCCCAATCTTTAAGAAAATAAAACTTAAAAACACAGACTATGACAGTTTACTGAGTGAGGGCAACAGGGTTCAGGTGTTAGCCAAATTCAAAAGCTACAGTGACACGTTATCATGCACAGCAATCCCAGGCACATAATGAGTGGCCAGGGAAGTGTGACCCACATACACTGAGAGCAATGCATGCATTTACCCAGTGGAAGATACAAATTTTACAATGAATATATTTATGTAAATTACCCTTCTGTTATTTGCCCCTATCCTGTCCAAAAAGAAAGTGACTAAGAAAAGTCTAACCACCTATTTTCCAGAGTTGAAATCTGAAGGTCTATTCACCTATATTGTTTAACAGAACAAAACAGGTGAGGGGTGCGCAGCTATTAAAAATGTGAATTCTTCCAAACTGCCAAGCCCCGTTTCATCCTTGCATTCTCTGTCACTCTTCTGACTTTGAAATACAGGACAAGCCTCCCCCCCGATTAATTTTATTTTGCCACTATCTGATGCTTGCTAAATATTTGGGTGGAATGAACCTTCCAGCTTGCAGCAGCAGAATGTGGCTGTCACAATCGTGAAAATGTTTTAATTATTTCAGCTATATGTCTGTCTCTGCAGCCCTAAACCCTCTGGTATCAACGGCTACCTAACCTAAGAACAAAAGCATTGCTCCTCCTTGTGTGATCTGGGCTCCGTTTTCATATTTGGTGGTGTCTGCTGGGGTCGGCTGCTCCAGCCGAGGCCTGTACACAGAGGCCATCCGCCTCTGGACTAGGGAAACAAAGATGTCTGTACTTGGGAATTTTCCTCTTCCTGCAATTTGGAACTTTCTGTGTCGAATTTTCCAGTTCCCATAAATCAAGACCCTAGCCACCCTGAAACGTGGGAAACCAGGCTGCATTGGAGGGTGCTTTTGTCAGCCTGCCAGAGGGTGGAGGTGAGCGGGCAGCTGGGCTCTGCAAAGCTCACCTTTTAATAAAAGAAGAGGGTCAGCTATTTGGAAGGGCCAGGGACCAAACTCAGACAGCCGCCTACTCAGCTCATGGGCAGCAGCGGCCCATTGGGAGACCCGAAGATCTTCAGGGACTCCTAGCCCCAGCAGCTACATTCTGGGGCTCTGTGTGGAATTGCACAACTCTGTAGGTGAGAAACCAGGATGAGGCAGGGGCTAGGCAGGCCTGAGGGCTATTTGGTGCTTTCTGAGGGTCTGCTTGGTGGTTGGGAGGCACAGCCACCTATCACCTAGCCTGCCAGGCAAGGTGGTTACAAGTCAGGCACAGCACTGTGAGGTAGAATGCACCCCCCCCAAAAAAAAAACAACTTAAAAACAAGTGCTTAAAAAGCAAAGCTCAAAACAACCTCAAAGATTTTCCCCACACTGAGCTGTCAGCCAAGAAAAGCTTTTTTTCCTTTTTAAAAAAATAAAAAATAAAATGAAACGAAAGGCAGAAAGAACTAAATCCCTAAACTGTGGAAATGGTGGCATTAGAGATGCGGACAGAATAAAAGGGCCTCTGTTTAGGAACGTAGAGTCCCCAGCCCTGCCTGTGCCCTTTGCTGGAGGACTGGGGATGGTTCTGGGGTTTTCCCAGTAGCTTTTGGAAGCTACTCTCTGGTTGCTTCCAAAAATAAAAATTAGTGATAATGATAATGAAGTAGTGATAAGACCCCCCCCCATAACAAAACAACACAATGAGGCCGATGCCTCCTCCAGCCTTCGATCAGCTGCTCACCGAGCAAGCAGCCACTGGGAAATACCGAACACCCGTTTTCATTATGATTTCGAAAGCCATAGCTTTGGATCTTAAAAATAAATGGCACTGCCTCTTCCCCGCAGGTTTTGGCAGTGCCTGCTTCACTCAAGATTGGGGGCGGGGGGAGTCTGAAATAGAATTTGGGGTTTGGGATAAGCCAATTAGAAGGCAGGAGACATAAGAGGCACGAAGCACAAGATGGCAGGGCCCTCGTTCGTCTCCTGAAGAGGGGGAGCAGGTCACTTACCCAGGTGCCGGAGGACAGAGACGCCTTCGCGAAAGCCAGGAAGTGAAAATGATGTGCCTGCCCTGGCCAGAGAAGAGGGCTCCCGCTGGCCAGTAGGCTGCTCCCCGGTGCCAGCCTCTGCCCAACAAGCCCTTGGGCCTCCCGGGCTCTGGTGTCCATCAGTGCCCAGGTCCTGGCCTGGGCCTTGGCCACTCTGGCACCCGGGGGCAGGACTGCCAGGAGCAAGTGGCGCAGGGGAAAGGTCCTGCTACCAGCCCAGGAGGACGAGGAAAATGCTACTTTTGTCTCCTGCTCTCATCTGGCACTGGCTCCCAGGGAGGGGGGGGCAGAGGCGGCCGCTAAGGCTCGGCCCCGCCCACCGGGAATTTTCGAAAGATGCTCGTGGGTGCCGGGAGGATGGCAGACGTGGCAGAGGCGGGTGGGCCGGGCCCCCAAACCCACCACCAAAAAAGGCGGGGGCTGGACAAACAGGGGAGAGGGAGGATGCCACAGCGCCTGGCCACTCAGCAGCTAGCCTGAGGAGGCCTGGAGCATCAGCCCAGCTCCAGCCAGCCCTGTGGATGGGCAGTGTGGTCTGGCCGCCATGTTGGGGCTGCCTGGCTATCCAGGCTGCTCTGAGGGGTCTGGAGTCCAGGCAGCCCGAATTGCTCTGGATAGAGGCCGCATTGTTCCCACACTGGGCTCTGCAGAGCAGTAGGAGGCACCCGTCTGTTTCCCTTCAGGGGAGCCAGGGCTCCCACTACAGCTGCCCCCCCCCTTTCCTTCAGGACTCTTAGGAGTGACCCATCCTAACCGTGGAGCCTGAGTTGCCAGGGCTCTGGACTATGGGTGTGAATTCAGCCTGTGTCCAACTGGCCACACGTCTGTGGACAAGCCAAGCACCTGCTTCCAGCCTCAGTTTCCCCATCTATATAAAGAAGGAAGGTTATGGTTCTACATCTGAGGGCTGACTGGGTACAGAACGAAGCACTATGCATAGTGCTCAGTACCCAGATGGTGCTTGGTAGACCCTCGACGCCCAGGAGAGTGAGGAGGGTCCCAGGGCAACCAGACAGTCAAGAACAAAGAGAAAGGGTGCTAGGGCAGAGCCCAGCTGCATCACCTCTGCCCTGACAGAGCCTTTAGTGTCACTAAAATCTTCTTGCCACTAACTCAGGACCACCTTCCTGTGCTTCAGCCCTCTGAACCTGCTGGGGTTGGACTAAGAGCCTGATGCAGACAGTTTTGCTGAAATTGAGCTGACGCTGCCCGCTTACAGGCGCCCAGGCTGGATCTGCCTGGCTATCTCCTCAGCGCCCTGGACTTTTCACCGTGGGCTTTCATGTGACATTTAAGCTGTATTACTATTGCAATGAGAAGGGGCTCACAAGTGGGCTATCTCACCCCTCCTCAAATGACTGGGTACCACAGAGGGGATGGTGTGGAGTGACCACTGCCCAGGCTGAGGCTCTGGACCTCGCTCCTTGTCATGTGAGACACGTCCATAATAACTCAGGTAAAGGATAGTCAGGCAGATCTTGTAGACGTGCCCTGCCTGGTCTTCCCTGGGAACCGCTTGTTTATTTCCCTGCTGTGTTCTGCCTGCTCAGAGAGTCATGCCAAAAGCCAAGGATAGAGATGGTCAGAGTGAGCATGGAGGAGGAAAAGGAGGAGGAAGCGTCCGGGAGGAGCCGGTCTCCAGCTCTAGCCGCACGCATATGGCCACGTGACTGCTCACCAGCTGACGCCAGAGACAAAGCAGGTAGAATTCCGATGCCATGCGCTCCACCAAGAACGCTGGGAATTCATGCCAGCAACGGTTTGGCATGGCTGCCAAGAGCCAGGCCTCGGGAGGAGAAGCAGGGCCCACTCTGCCAGTCCGCAACACTGAGAACCCTCTGAAGACCCACCCGGCGGCCATTTGGGGCCTGCTGGGACAAGGAAGATGTAGAACCTGGGTCACATGGCTGTAGGAGGCAGTACCCCCGACCCGTGTCACCACAATCAGAAGTGGCCACTGCTGTGCCCAGCTGGCTGTCAGAGAGACAGCAGCCCCTCCCCCACTACGGCTGCAGCAGTCCACCATGGTCCGGGGTCACCGGGGTGTCATGGAGGGCAATGGGCTCTTCTCGGATGGAGCCAAGCGCTGTGAGATCGGTGCCATGCTTGTCTAGAATACCCGCTAACAAGCACTTCTCTGGGTGGGAAGACTCAACTGTTGACATCTGTGGACTCTGATACGCTCTTGGGTCCCTCAGGCCAGAAGCAGCCCTGTCAGGTCTGGGTGCTGTGCAGTCCAGAGGGGACTGGCTACAGCTTTTCTTAAGGCCTAAAGGCAAAGGAAGGGAAGCTACGGCAAGGGGACGGTTTATTATCATTTAAACTGTAATTATAAAAGCTTGCTTTGAATGTAAATATATCTCCTAAATACATGAAAGGGGATTCTAAATTTAAGAGCTCCAAATCAGCAGGTAGATCTTTCTGCTGAGGGCTCTACCTGCCAGGAGTGAGGAAGGGCGATTCACAGAAAAACGTGGACTGGTGTCTGAAAGTCAAAGCACCAGGGAGAGCACTCCCCTCCTACCGAGAGAGAAAACTTACCCAACCTTCAAAAAACAGATTGTTAGCCTTTTTACTTTGTACAACTCACGTACACATTTTACAACCACAACAACCGGCCTATCCCTCAACGTTACCCAGACCATCACTGCTCACAGGCCCTTCCCGCCATTGTTTGGACAGCAAATCCCAGACACCTGCTCACAGGCATCTACATGATTGAGAGAAGTGAGGCACAGACTGCAGACTCTAGAAGATGCCTGTCTAAAACCTGATGGTGCTGCATGCTTTATTCCCCCAGAAAGTGAGTGTAAACTTGTGTTGTAGGTCCTTTCTGTCCCAGGTCACAAGATTTCATTCTTTTCTATGATTTCAACTCTGCCACTCTTATACTCACAGCCTCCTCAGAGGCTGTCTGGACACCCCTAAAAGAGATCGCTCTGCATAGCATTTAGGGGGCACAAGTTAATGATAGGAATATAATGGGGTGCTAAGAGTTCCCAGCACTAAAAATAAATAAAAGACACAAAAGCAGTTTTAAAACTAATAATATTTTCTAATAGAACCTTAATCAGAAGGTAATATCACTTGCCCCTCCAAAAAAAAAATTTTTTTTTTCTTTCTGAGACAGCATCTCCCTGTAGCCCCAGCTGGCCTGGAACTCACTACATAGACCAGGCTGGCCTCGATCTCACAGAGATCCACCTGCCTCCGCCTCCTGAGTGCTGGGAGTAAAGGTGTACACCACCATGCCTGATCAAAAAAATTCTTTTGAGTAATGAGGAGTCTCCTAATCGGGACTTGGCCCCTGTCTGTCTTCCTTCAGTGGCCTGGCAGTAGCATCTTGACTGAGGGCTGCCTGAGGTGGCAGGTGTCCTCTGTCTGGCTGAGAGTCCTTTATGGAATTCCTAGCATTTGCTCGTGCTGGCCTTTCCTAGTGCTCTCCGTACAAGCCACAGCCCCAGAAATGCCACTCTGAGTCCCTAAGGTGAGCCTCAGCCACTGGTTTGGCTTTTGTGGTGGCCTGCCGCCAGGCACAGCTCTCCAGCCCAGTTAGTCTGTGGAGTGTGGGCAGGGCTGGGTGGCTGATGTCTCAGCCTCAGGGCTAAATCCAGTGTATTTGATTAATTCAGAAGACATTCATTATGCCTCTGCTCCCTGGGTAGTTTACCATGAGTTACAAAATACCTTCATTAGTTGGGAGTGTGCAGGAGGGCCCACGTGGACTCTCCAAGTCCAGCTGGCCTCCCACAACCTACAGGCCATTCTCAAATTCATCTGAGAACAAGATTTAGGGAGGAGGAGATGACACTGGAAAACCACAAACATTGGCCCACAATGTCTGATGAAGCCTCCCTCAACCCCCACACCCTCTGGGGACTGACCCTGCCTCCTCGGGATCCTTTCCCTCACTTCCAGTCTGCATCCCAGCACGGATGGCCAGACCCGCCTAAGGAAAGCCTCATCAGGCTCTCAATCCCAAACCTTCCCAGGGGCTGCCGATGCACCCCTGCGACCTTTGAAAAGAAATCGCAGGAGAAAAATTAACTAGTAAAGTTTAAACTGCACTCCACACAGGAAAACCGACAGGCCTGCTAAAATTCCCCAAGAATCACGGCTCACAGGACTTTCATTTTCCTCCTGTAAATCTCTTCTGACTATGAGGCCGGAGCCCACAGTGCTCTAATGCTGAGGCTTGGCCAACTGTCTCAGGCAACAGAACGCTAGTCAGCCCCAAAAATAAATAGTCCATATAAAAGATCCATTGTCTTTACTTGGAGACAATTGTCGCTTTTTTCTCCCTCATCAGCCACATAACATCAGAAAGTATGGCTGGTGTCACTTAAGAGTTTCTTCTTGTTCCAACACAAGGTGCTTAGAGAAAAGGCAACCTTGCTACATCTTTCTGAACAAACAGCCAGGGGACAATCTCTCCAAAGCAAGCCATTCGGTAAACACACTTGTACCTGGCCAAGGAACAGTTCACACATCAGACTGGCGAAAGTCTTCCATGACACCTGAAAGTGTCATTTTCCAGAAGGATCCCATCCTGCCCTGGGAGGGGGGCACCTCCCCCCAGCATATTCTGAGTCCCCAAGAGAACCCAGGTCTCACCTCCTGTACCTAACGCAAGGTATATGATGCATCCGGTGGTCATGTTCACAGTAAGTTCCCAGGACATGGAAAGTGCTGGCTTTGCAAGTTCCTGTCAGCCAACCCTGTGAATACCATCCAGGTGCATGTTTGTACCACCTGTAGGGCAGGGAAGTAAACTTCTTGATGTGTTTTCTAGAGAAACCAACTCTGTTACTTAGAATATAACATAAGCATCATATACAACACAATGTAGAAAATATTAAATGATAAGTAAAATATATAATTATAGCGATTGTCATTTACATTAATGACCATTGCACAGACCACTGAATGCCTCCAGACAATAAGTCAGAAACAGGACCTTATGGAAATACTGCTGCCTGCAGTCTCTGAGGTTGGTATCACTATTCCTGCTTTGGAAAGCTCAGGGTACAGGCTTGGGAAGGTAACAGGACTTGCCTGGGTCACATGGTGAGCCAGAGCCAGGAACAGATCAGAACCTGGAGTGCTCCACTCCATGCCCAGATGTGAGCCTCCTAAGCTCTCCATAAGAGTATTCTTCCCTCCACATATGCAAATATACCCTCAAAACCCAATCACAGCAATACAGATGAGGCACTGCCATTCTGAGATGCTTCTGCCTGA